GAAACCAGTAGAAAGAGCCAAGTAAATATAATCCTAGGATAAAAATAGCAGAAATACACTGTATATAGTGCAAATATTATTCATCAATAAGAAGCACAATTTACTAACAGGATCTCAAAGTGAGAATTTATTAATGTGTGGTAGACATTAGTTAATGGGCAGATAAGTATTAAAGTGATGAATTGAATAAGAATGTGGTTTTTTACCACCACTACAACCAAGGGTCCTAAAGCCTTGCTATATCTATATAACTATACTTACATCTACATCTATATCTACATTTAATTCTAGATATAGTACTTGATCAATCATCTTGAAGTTAAATATTTAACATATGCCTACGTCGCTTGTGTTAGATGCTGATGACACAGGAATTAAGAGGTTTTTGCCCTCTTTTGCCCTTTTTGCTTTTAATTTATCTACAAACTATAGTGCAACAAACATTTTGGTTTGGTATCATTTTTCCAACTCAATAGTTTGCAGCTTTCATTTGCTCTGTTTGAAAATTCCTAAAATACAGCTATGAATTCTTAATGTTCTAATATCCAAAACTGAGCAACAAATATTTCACTATTAATAATAATAACAACAAAAGCTAACCTTTCCTGTGTACTTACTACTCTTAGGCACTATTTTCTCACTGAATCCTCACAACAGACATAGAGGGAGATACTATTATTAATCCTATTTTACAGAGAAAGAAACCAAGGCATAGAGATTAATTTACTTAAAATGTTCACATAACCAGTAAGAGACAGAGCCTGGGTTCAAACCTATGCAGTCTGACACCAGACTTCATGCTCTTAACCATTGTGCTAACACAGTTTATATTTCTGCTATGTTAGTTTTACATAAAATGGGTAAATTACTGGGATGCCTGGCTGGCTTAGTCGGTAGAACATGTGACTCTAGATCTCAGGGTCATGAGTTAGAGTCCCATGTTGGGTGTGGAGCCTATTTTAAAAAAATGGATAAATTACCTTCTTAAGATAGTGAGAAACAAAACTATTATAAATACACATCAACTTCAGACATGTGGCAAGATAGTTGGTGCTTAGTTTCTTTAAGAGGTGTCCCTGCCCTACAGACCTTATGGAATTAGGGAATCAGAACACACATCCAAAATGTATAATAGTACCCTGTGAGATAGGATGAGTGCAAATGAGGAGTACACACAGGACTTGCTATGAAAGTTGAGAGGAGGAACTAATTTCTAAGGATTGGACCATCATAAAAGGCTTGATGGAAGAGATGGGTCTTAAAGGAGGGATAAAATTGATGGGTGGAAACAAAGAGGAAAGATGGTATAAGCAAGGAGAACCACCTGAACGAAATTATGGATGAAGTACCAAGAAAAGATCCCATTGTTCAACATTTCATGTAGGAGGTTAATAGGTGATGAGGCTAGAAAACTATGGATCATATTGGGGTGGTAAGTAAATACCAGGTTAAGGAGTTAGGACTTTATCTTCCATTTTATTTATTTACTTATTTTTTAAAGTAAGCTTTACACCCAACGTGGGGCTTAAACTCAACGACCCTGAGATCAAGAGTCACATGCTCTATTGATTGAGCCAGTCAGGCACCCCAAGACTTTATTCTCTAGACCTGGCTTGTTCAAAACAGCAGTCACTAGTTATATGTAGCTATTTAGCACCTGAGATGTGGCAAGTCCAAACTGAGAATAAGCAATACAGGTAAGATACACAGCAGCTTTTGAAAACTTAGCATGAAAAAGCAATGTAAAATACCATTAATAATACATTGATTACATTTTGAAATGATCATACTCCAAATATATTAGGTTAAATAAAATATATTATTAAAAATCATTTCACCTCATTTTATTTTCCTAATGTGGCTACTGGGAAATTTAAAATTATATATGTGGCTTGCATCTGTGGCTTACATCATATTTCTATTGGGCAATAATGTTCTAGAAAAATAAAAATAAAGAAAAATGAGCAGGGATTCATGCAAAAAGTGTTTTAAAAGCTTATTCTGTAATAATAAATTCAGACTGTAAGACAACTGATCTGGCTTTCAATAAGTCAATGGCAGGAAAAGAAAAAAATACCTAGATAGCAATGAAGTGGGACTGCTATAGCTAAGATACTTAAGAGACAGAACGTTGAAAACAATGTATAGATTTTGTTTGGATCATGATTCAAGCAAACTAACCATAAAAAGTCATTTCTGAGACAACTAAGGAAATGTAAATAGAGACTAGATATTGGATGCCATCAATGAGTTATTGATCATTTCAGTGGAATAACTTTATGGAGATGAAAGAAAAAGTTGCAAACTAAAGTATGCTTTAGTGATGTGAGCTAGAGTATGTCGAGATGAAATGACAGAAGACTTGGGAATTGCTAGGAGAAAAATGCATATTTCTTACTATCTAAAACCTACCTACCTACCTACATACACACACACACAGAGCACACACACACACACACACAAATATAAAAGAGTAACTTGAGAAAATGGAGGTACCCTGATCAGACTTTTCAGAATTTGGCTTAAAAAAAGGGAATAAAAGAGACAACACAATACCCTAGGGGATCATAAATCAAAGTTGCGTGCTTTTGCTGTAAAAATTGGAGGATCTGAGCATAACTATCTATATGAGGAAGCACTAAGCAGTGGAAAGGGGGGTGTTTGGGGGCTAAAATTTCAACGGTGTGTCAAGAAAGGTATTCAGAACAACACAGTTCATTCATATAAGGTATTTCCTTAGAGCCACACAGAAGGTATGTTGGAACCAGGACTAAAATCAAATCCTCTAACTTGGCATAATGTTCTGTCTCTAATTTTAAACATGACAAAATCCTATGGAGAACCCAGTCTATACTTTTCACTCTGGATTTTCTCACTTTCTTGTGTCATTCAATTATTCTTTATACCATCATTAAATAATTTGGCCATATTAAAATATTTTACTCAATGTACTTAGGTTTATCTTAATTGCTTCTTCAACTGAGATTTGGTAGAAGAGAGACAAAAAAGAAGAAGAAAAGCAAATTTAAGCAGTAACAACAACAGAACCAACTTAACATCTCCAAGTGAAATTTAAATCATGTTGACAAAACACAAGATGCAGTTTCACTTCTGGGTACAATGCAAGAAGAGAGGTCAGTGTAAGGTGAGCAGTATAGAGATAATAAATGCGAAGAACAGAAGGCAAAGCAGAATGAAGAAGGGAAAAACTAACCAAAAAAACCTAACAGTAGCCTTTTGGAGTGCCCAACAACTGCCTCAAAGTGGAGTGGTTCATTCTGCTTTTTCTGTAACCTTGAAAGATAGCCTGGCTTCCCTGGTAATATGCTGACTTCCTGAGTGTCCTGTTCTGCTGCTATACAATTAGCTATTTGGCCTTGATGCTTGGTTTGTTTCCTCATCTACAAAATGGGATTTTAACACCTGCCTTATTAGCCTCCCTGGGTTGAAGTGAAAGTGAAGCGAGATAGTAAATGTGAATGGATTTTTAAAAGTTACCAGTTGCTAAGATCTACAAGAAATAATTGGGTTGAAAATCTTTTCCAGGGTGGGGGCCTGAGTGGCTGAGTTAATTGAGCGTTGGACTCTTGATTTTGGCTTAGGGTCCTGGGATCCATTCCCCCACCCCGACCCCTCCACTGGCTGGGACTGACCATGGAGTCTGCTTGAGATTC